TTTATGAAGAAGAAAAAAACAAAAACCGACGGCGGGAGGAAAGTAGACAAAGGTTAAAACGGAGACTTTAATGATGATACACTTGAGGTACCGGAATAGTCAATGAAAATAAAACGAGCAGCACGGTTCTGAACGGATTCTATCGAGTCTGTTAAATGTTTTTGATGAGGATACCAGATGAAGGACAGATATTCTAATTTAGGACTAACGATAGTGGTGTACAAAATACGTTTTAGGTTTTCAGGTGAGGATCTAAAGTTTCGGCGAATGTAGCCTAGAGAGCGCTTTGCTGCGGATATAATTGTTTAAATATGAATATGCCATGATAGATTAGGTGTGAGATGCAAGCCTAAGTATTTGTCTTGCTACAAGTGGCTATTACTGGCTATACGAAATTATTATTTATTAGGTTGCCTTAAAATTCCTACAGATGGCTAGTAGTGACTAGTGTTGGTATCCATAATCAAGTTTTAGGTTTACTAACTGGAATGGCTTTGAGTGGCTCTTTTTGGCAATTATCATCTATTTCTGGCAGATTAGCTTCAAATGGCTCGCAATGACTATCGGCGAGTATAATGAACAATTCTATGCTATTTCACTGTTTATGGACGAAACTGACTATAAGTGGCAATTGTTTACGATAAGCACTAATTCTTTATTAGATTGGCTTGAAATAGCTACACAGGACTATTAGCGGCTAGTCATGACAGTTATGTGCAATTTTAGTGTTTACTAACTGGTCCGGCTTTTGGCAGCTACTGTTGTCTTTTATCATTAATTTTTGACCAGAGTGGCTTCAAGTAGCTAGAAATGTCTATTAGCAAGTATAATTGCTTATATTTACGAATAGCCTTTCATAGCCATCCAATGGATATTCACGAATAGCCGTTCATAACCATTCAAAGCCAATCTGGTAAAAAAATGAATGATAATAACCAAAAATAGCCGCTTGAAGCCATTTTAGATTGTGGACAAAGAAATAGCTGCTAATTATCAATACTAGTTACTTATAGCCATTTTTAGCCAATTGAAGCCAACCAGATCAGGAACAGATGTTTATAGCCAGTAATAGCCAATCCAAGCCAACCTTATCAAGGATTGGAGCTATAGCCAAAATATCCAGTTGAAAACATTCAAATATATACACCCAGGCAGCACCAGATTTTGTGTCAACATTGCTCTCAGCATGGTTAAGGTGGCCTATTTGGGCCCAGCTTGACCAGTCTAGAGCCAGCATTTCATCATGCTGGCACTAAACTGGCTACATGACGGCAACATTTCCCGTTTCTGCCAGCGTCCAACCAATATTGCGGCGTCCCGGCTACATGACGGCAACATTGCCATTTCTGCCAGCTTCCAAAAGATATTGCTGCATCCCGACCACATGACGGCTACATTACGGCAGCATTTACCGTTTCTGCCAGCTTACAAAATATATTGCTGCATCCTGCTCCATGACGGCTACATTGCAACATTCGCCGCTTCTGTCAGCTTCCAAAAGATATTGCTGAAAATATATCAAGTTCTATATCGGGCTGTTTTGCAATCACCGAATGAGGCACTGCACCAGCCAAATCGCGGCAACATCGCCGGTTTGATTCCATATACCCTTGGAATATTTAGACACACAAGCATTTTTGCCTATATAACCTTACCCATCAGACTCTAAAACCTTAAATTATTGATGTTTCTTTCATCTTCTAGCGCTCCTCTTATGCGTCCATTTCCGGATTGAGCGGCGTCGCCGTCGGCGTAACAGTAAAGCGTCGGCGTAACGCACTTTCGTGATGCGCCACGAAAAAGCGTTACACCGACGCGTAAAAGCGTTACGCGTCGCGTAACGCTTTGGCGTGACACCTCGGCGTTGCGTAACGCGTCGGCGTAGCGGTTTTGTGTGACGCCTCGGCGTCGCGTAACGCTTTTGCGTGACACCTCGCCGTTGCGTAACGCGTCGGCGCAACGCTCTTTCGTGACGCGTCCGCGTAACGCTTTTTCGTGACCCGTCATCGTGATACTTCTTCACATCGGCGTCGCGTAACGCTTTTTCGTCACGCCTCGGCGTCGTGTATCGAAAAAGCGTTACGCCAACGACGACCGTAACGCTAGCCATAGCGCGCTGGCGTGACGCGTCGCCGTCAGCGCAACCGCGCGGTGCATTATGGGAAAGGTGCCATAATGCACCGCGGTGACGTGCGTGTTGCATTATGGGACGTCTCCCATAATGCACCAAGCGAGAGGGAGGAGCAGGAGAAGGGGGAGGAGGATGGAGAAGGAGGGACAAGACAGAGAAAGAGGCAGGAGGAAGAGGGCTCCCACTGAAAGCTCCCCCCGCCCCCCCCCCCCCCCTCTACCAACGTCACTGGTGTATTTTGCCTATATGGGATCTTCAATATTTCAAAATAACCTGCTTTAACTGAGCCGCGCAACTCGACCAAAGCTTCCCATTGGACAATAGATATCCAAGGAACATCCGGTGGACATCCTGCAATGAACATTGGGACGTCCATAGGATATCCGCAGAAATCCCAGGGACATACTGGGGACGTCCGTAGGATGGGCCTGTGCAAAGAAATTGTTCATCCAGGTGACATCCCACGTACATCCAAGTCGGACTTTCGGACGTCCCTCGGATGATCAGAAAGAGACATATTCCATGCTAAAATATCCACCGGATGTCCAAAGAATAACCTTTTATGGATAACGGACATCCACGGGACATCCTTTTTTTTTATCTAACTGGAGCTCACCTGGACCGTACCGGTCAGGATGCTCCCTTCAAAATGCCTTTCCCTACGCATGCCAGAACGTTCGTTAGCCATATTTTCTCATGTTTTCCCACATTTATTTTTTAAAAATGTCTGTTCATCCAGTTTTTTGCAGTTGATGCAGGAACTAGTTATAGTGGCTTTAAAAGGGCATTGAAAAGAAAAAGCTTTTTTTTACGCAGCCTGATTACAATCTATACCCCAAGAAGCAATATCGAAGACATCAGACTCATTTGAGTTCTCCCGAAAATGGACTTAAATGTGTCTAAGTGCCAGTTTCGGGAAAACTCCAAATCAGTACCATCCAATTAATATCTTTCTTTTTTTTTTTGGGGGGGGGGGGGGGAGATGGGAGGGAATGCATTATGTGGGATGCAAATTCTATAACTAAGCTGTTTTAAAGAAGGTTGTTTCTTTGCAGTGGCTTAAGAGAGACTAGCAAATGAGAAGGCCCAGGATACAACCGAGCTAAATTAACAAGCTGTGCAGGAAAAGTGGGCATAAAATTAACATGCTAACCATCTAAGCACATTTCACCATTTCGAGTCATATTATTTATGGACCTCTATTTGCACGGTTTCCCTCTAAACCAAAAAGGACTGGTTGCCACAGGCATGACAGGATGTACTCTTTCCAGAAATAGATGTGGGTATAGTGAGAAAATATATGGTTCACGAAACCTCCGACATGCACAGGAAAGGGCAATTCCAAGAGGAGCACCTTGATTTAGCAGCATCTTGGTCATTTTGAACGCTCGGGTAAAGGAAAAATATAATGAATTCTTAATCAAGAGCTTTCCTGAGAGGATTCACATGCAAGTTTAACAAGTTGCACGAAGTTACACATAAATGTTAAGTACATACTATGACGCAGTTAGAAAGAACATATCACTACTTTTTCGACAGGCAACGTTTTATCACTTATGCTGTGTCCCAGTTAAGCCCTTTCGACCACATAAATCGTTTTGGTGACCTGGCTTTGCTTGTCATAGTAAAACAGAAAAAGTTGGCAAAGGCATGTTCACGCTAACTGTGCTGCACTCTCTAGATGATGCATAACAGCATGGTCACATCGTTTAACTCTAAAAAGATTTAATAAAATTAGAAAAAAATAACGAGGAACATTATACTGTACAAACTTTGTACCTCTAAAGAACCATATGCTAAAAGTTAGGAGGAACAGATTTATTCACAAAAATTAAAAGCAACACTTTTTAAGTGTAACTACACACCTAAACAACTTTATAAAAAAACACAGTAGGAACAGGCAGTTGATCACAATGATCATACTGCAACGATGTTAGCAGGGGTAAACATGCAGTCCTTGCGAGGTAGTCATGATTCGTGCGAAGGAAAACAGGGGATCGTCGATCACTCTGTCCTGGCACGTAATGCAGTGGCGGCTTACTCTTGTTATCGGATGCCCTTCTGCGCCTGGTTCGCAAAGCCTCTGAGAATTAAAAAAAATGTGCATAAATGGCCGCTTTTGTCCGGTGCTGCCAGTACAAAGCAGTTGACAATCGCCTGCACATGGATTGCGACCATACAACATACTCTATGCAGCTTCTTTGGTAACATCTTTTTTAAAAATAAACAATGCTATAGTTTGTAAAGAAAAAATGACAAGCAAGCCCCTTCAAAATTATTCCCTCCAACTGAACTTAGTCATGTTCAAAATATCACAGTATGAATAAACATGTAATACAAGCGTTACAACCTTGACATGCATTATGCCAAATGCACAGAAGTACACATTTCTTCACAAAAATTCAAACCAAATTTTTTTTTAAATGTAACACATGTCATCAAAGACCACTTCGAGAACAACACCTTATTCTGAAAGCACAGTGGATCGCAGTGGTTTTACTGCAACATTACCAAGGGTAGCTAACCCCTGCAGGGTACACCATGCTATATGCAGCCTCTTTGGTAACATCTTATCAAAAATAAGCGACACTATAGCATGTTAAAAAAAATGGCAAGCAAACCCCTTCAAAAGCATTCACTTTGTCTAAACTTAGACATGTTCAAAATATCACAGTATGAATAAACAGTGCCATACAAGCATTACAACCTTGACGAATGTTATGCTAAGTGTAAGGAAGAACACATTTCTTCACAAAAATTCAAACCAAAAATCTTTAAATTTTCTATTAAAATGTATTTCACTTGTCATTAAAGACAACTTCAAAAACAACACCTCAGCTGGAATGCACAGTTGATCACAGTGGTTTTATTGCAACATTACCAAGGGTAGCTAACCACTGCAAGGTGCACCACACTATATGGAACTTCCTTAAAAAAAACTTTTTTGTGAAAAAAAGCACAGCAAAAACTTGTACACTAAAAAGTAAAAAAAAAGTCACTCCACCTGAAATCAGATGTGCGAAAAAATATTGCGGTGCAAATCCACAAGAGCACAGAAACAATGTTCACAGGCAGTGAAAGGCAAGTATGAAAGAAAAAACAAATGCACGTACAAGAGGCCTGGCATAATGAACTTCAAAAGAAACTGCTGTGGTCTGATATATATAAAGTTTGCACGCGAAACCTCAGACGCACACAAAGGAAAGCTGTTTTGACCTCCTACTCCCCGCTGGCACTCTGCTCCTTGCTGATGAGTGTTCCAGCGTCGGAAGTTCTGCAAGGCCTCTCAATCCGACTCTAGAAATTCAAAGATAAAGGGGAGTACATTTTATCTCCTGGACAAAAAAAAAAGTACTGCCCAAATATAGTACAATAGTTAACCAGAAAGGAGTGCACAAAAAGAATAAAAATATGGTATGCATTATACGCCCTCACAAAAAGAAAAGTAAAAAGTGGCAGGTCAATAAACAAGAAACTGTGGCTGCTATACATTATTCAACTGAAAGCCAAAAAATAATTGCTAACAAGTACATTGTCGGCTTGTAGCGGTTAAGCAAGAGAACAATAAAAAAAGTATTGTTAAGCTAAACAGCACATGGAAGGGGTACCGGGTACCATAGTTAGCGCCTGTTTGTCTCCTTTCCTCTGTCCCGTCTGTTTAGCTGGGGTACACTAACAAATGAGATTCTGCAAAGCAATCCAAATTTGGGGTTTTATGGCCCAAATTTGAGCACTGAGAAATGCCATAGTAGCAGTCTCCTGATTTGTTTAACCACCGGGGGTTTTGTCGTCCCAAAGAAACACATCCTCTGGCGGGGAAATGAATGGCTCAGGCTGGGATGGGACGCATTAGCTACTGTTCCACAGAGGGGGCTGAAAAACCTTCAACTGCATTAAAGCAATACGGTTGTAGTAATCAATGGGATGAATTACCATAAAATTCCGAGCAAGCGCCCACTCAAAATAAGGAGATAATTGCAAAAATTGGGGAATGGGCGCTCGTTAGGTCATCAATTTTTCCTACCGTAAAATACCGGGCAAGCGCCCACTCAAAATTTAAAGATAATTGCGAAAAAATAGAGGATGGGCGCTCGTCCGGTCATCAATTTTATATATCAATGTACTGTGCCTATTTTCTCAGATTTTTCAAATTTGGGTATGGGCGTTTAGTGTGGTATGGGTGGATGCGCGGTATTCTACGGTATGTGTTGTGGAAATCACTAGGTTTCTCTGCCTTATCTAAGCCCTAGCCACGTGCAGGCCATGGGGGGTCGTCGCCATCATAGCGATGGCTTCTCGGATGCGAGGATTCGAGGCCGTATTCCCCAAAAAAGACAGCTCTCCCCTTGCCCTCGTAAGGGGAAAGTGCCGCCGGCGCACCCTTGGGAGTGATTGTGGATGCGTCCCGTTTCCGGGCTAAACTTCTACCGGCCTCCCCAAGGCGCGTCCATTTCCCGAAAGGCTATATAAGCCGGCCCCAAACCTGGGCCGGGGGCTCTATTCGGCGGAAGCTCTTGCTCTATTGAGCTCGGTTTTTCTTTGTGAACTTCCAACTTCCCGTGAATCTGTCTATTGCGGCAGCGCGGGAAACCGACCGGGTGATACTAGCCACTGAGCCAGCGTCCAGACTTTCACTGTCCTAGAGCGAAGCGTGTTGGCATACGAGTCAATAGACACGTTGAAAATGGGCTCACTGTGTTGGTGCAGTCTTTTGTCCACCGGAGCCAAGAGGCAGTGAATGGACGGACCCGACTGTAGCCGCGCAAAGAGCGGACTATGACGTGGGTAGTTACCTTGATGAGGACTTTTTGCTAAAATAGCGAACCCACAGTGTGTACTGCGCATTCTTTTTCAGATGTTGCAAAATTTGGGGGTGGGTGCTTAGTATTTAGTGGGCAGATGCTCGGCATTTTACGGTATCATATTTATTTTGCACTGGCCTCATAAAAGCAACATTTTCAAAGCCCTATGGCTACACATGCATGAAAAGCATACCTTCATTTTGGTGCGCTTCAGGTGCTTTGCACCTTTGGCCCTTGGCCCTTTCAGGGGCGTGCCGAAGCCAAGACTTGATCGAGTCCTCGATGGCATCTTTACCTCCTGGCAACTTCTTTGCAGCATCTGAAACCAGATTAGTGCATAACCCTAACAACACTATACCCAAAAATGCTTGAAAAAAGAAAGGGGATCAGTGGTCGATCATGCTAGTGCAAAGCAGCTCGGAGCACATGGAGCAAACATTTGCTTGGCAGAACCCACGGATCCTGAGTCAAGTCCTTAGCCGTTCCCATTTCAATTAGGGTAAGAATCATACCAGCATGCGCTTGTGCAATTAACTACTGCTTGGTGCACTTAAAAAAAAAACCAGCTTAGCAGTCATACTACAGTGCCTGAAACGCATCTTCACCTGGTGTGCTTATCGAGTCTTTATTTTTGGCTTTTCGTCTTCCGACTCGTGGCATCATACACCTTCGTGTTGTTGCCTGTTGCGACCCTGGTGGCGGCACAGCAGGAGCTGCGGCAAACGCCTGTTGCAGTTCGCTCAGCAGACAGTCAGCTGACAAAAACTACCTAGACACGGTTCGAAACGTCGCAACAGCAGAAATCCTTACATCCATTGGTGTTCTGGTATTTCCACCACCAACTGCCAGAATGGTGACAATTGACAGCATGAAGTGCTTGCTTTGCAGTTGTCACTTCTTACCACTCACCAGTCAGAGACGCGTCCCGGGCGCCATAGTCATACTGCACTGGCTACATTGCTCATCCATAACACAAGCCAGCGTTGCCATACACTGCAAGACCGATTTTATGCTGTCTAGTGTAACTTGCTTCTGCTTGAAAATGTGCATCTTACAAAAGAATGACAGGCCACACGAGTTATTAAAGATGGGCAAAGTATCTAAAGATTCAATGTACAGAATTATGCAAGACATAAACCAGGTCCATTTCATGCTAACCTGGTAAAAAGACAAAATTACTCAAGTGAGGGAAGAGCAGTGCGAGGGATTTTTGTTGTTGTCTGTTTCTCAGAGGGGTCCAACTCAAGAGAAAATGTCTTCCCAGGCACTGTGACTGACTCGAAAGGCCCATATCTTTTGCCATTGGCCTAGTAAGTAGCATAAAAGGTGGTAAACATTCAGCAATGATTGCTTCAATGTCTGATATGAAAATAGCTAAAAAATGTTTTCACATTCACAGGAAAGCTGGTAAACAATACAAACGTGGCTTTTTTCTTGCTGTCAAAATAAGTAAGCTACTATTTACATGGAAGATGGACAAATATTTAAAAAAATTGATTTTTGAGCTTTTTAGAAGTGATGTCGTACATCTAAGAGTAAACCTTTAGATTAGTTTTGTTTGACGTCGAAATAGTTACTTTCTCAAGTTTCTGGCTTACCAGTAATTGCAGTGGCAGTCTTTAAAACTGAAAAGTTGAGTTTTCCCTTTCTTCCGATCCACGAGAACTGTGCAGCTAGCTCATCAGTTAGAAGATACGTCAGCATCCGCTTCGTGGCCTTGCTTGCAGTCTTGCCCCCGAGTTGCTTGAGCTCATGAACCTGCATAAAAAGACAGCATGGGATATTTGGAGTGAATATAACTTAATTCAGGAAAGCGTGGCATAACCCAGGCATGATTATGTGAAAAAAAAAAAAATATTTGTGGTAAAATGTCTTGAACGCAACTAGTGCAGTGTTGGCCACGCAAATACAACACTACTGACGGAGCTCTTCACTGCACCGCATGTTGCATATTTGCGTCTCCAGTTCGTTGCTCGCTTTCTCGCGGCAGAAATGGGAACTGCTCTAGCGAGGGTCACCCGGCTTCTTTCTTCAGCAGCCACTGCAGAACTGCGCGTCATTGCTGATCATTTCGCCCTGGCATCTTTTGCTTTTAATTAAGCGCCCCCATTTTTACCTCACTTGACTGGGTGGTCAGCTGCTTAATAGAAACCGAACAACAGCTGCATACCCATCAAAACATTTCTCTACGTACAATGTCTAATGAACTTTTCAGGGGATTATGTCATGTGGTTTTCAATATCATGCAAAAGACAACTGAAGTGTTCTCTTAAACTGATATTAGGCCAAGTTACCCTTTAAACAGCCACACAGCTGTATAGCAGTATTAAAGTAAAATACTTACAAGACGTAGAGCCTTCTCTTCATCCAACTCTTTCTCAAAGGCCAGGAGGTCAGGTAGTGTGTTGAACGCTTGTTCAACGAGGGATGGGTGTGCAATAACTGCATGGACTGGAAGGATTGCGCAGAGCTTGTTGAGCATCTCGCCATGCTGCTGCAGCGTGAAGCGCATGATGTTTAACAGCCGCAGGACGTGCTGCTTGAATGCTTGTGGTATGAAAAAGGAAAGCAATTGAAAATATATTTTACACGAGGATAGATAGTTTACACTTGCATTTTTATTGGGCATGGCATAATTCCCTCAATGAAACTACATAGTTACTCCATTGTTTAACTTCAAAAAATTGAGCAACAAATCCAAAGGGCAAAAATGACGAGGTCCATATAATCTTGAATGACGCTTCAAATTAATTGCTTGGGGAAAAAGTAGAAAAGAGTATAGTTAGAAACACAACCTTGTGATCTTCCATGCCCAATACATTTCTGTGCACTCAGGCTTCACCACTTTTGAAGGCTTAGATAGCTCACGTTATCCCTTTCACTGGAAGCACTGCTGTCCTTATCCGTAACTCTTTATGGCAACCAGATATATCAAAAAACAATATTTGGTTAGAAAAAGAAATTAAGATGCAGAAGAAAACAGGAATACAAAAAAGAGGCACAGCATACATTGGTTAGAAAAAGAAATTAAGATGCAGAAGAAAACAGGAATACAAAAAAGAGGCACAGCATACAAGACCAAACATGCCAGCACAATAAGCTTGCCAGATGTCAGCATCATTTATTTCTTGGTCCTGCTTTTTTTTTACACTACACCCCAAATCTAGAACTTAATGAAATTTTACCAGAAAGAATGTGTCAAATATTTACCCTGATCTTGTGGATCCTGTAGCTCGCTTGCTTGAAGCCCTACAAGTACACAGGCTTTAGATGTGCTATTTAAGACTACTAAATGTCCTCTAGACAGCTTTCTGATACTCCTAAAAAGAGATACCAAGAGACTATTAGCATTTGCATGCCCTTACTGTTCGTGAATTGAAGAGATCATAAAATTTAAGGGGAAGCAAAATTTTTGGTCTTTTAACATACACATTCCTGGCACCTGGGATTTGCAAAATTTAGTCGCTGCCAATATGCTCCCTGCAACCAACTGGGGACGCAAAAAAAAAGGTTGTACTATTATTTATCTTGATATTGATAATATATCTCACAACTAGTCAACAAGCCATGATCATGTCCAGACATTATCTTGAGGAGATCTCCCCTAGCATGCCTCATCTAATGCAATTTAATGTTTGATTGATGCAAGGCTGTAGTGCAACAAGTTTACTGCCCAAGTAAAAAGCATATATATGATTAAATTTTCTGTATTAATATTCGCAACTCCAACGGCTCACATTTAATCCCCATTTCTCTGTTACCCGTTTTAGTTGCCATGCTGCGCCAGTTTTTGCAGCACAGTTGAAAAGGCACGAACAACCTGTTGCTATCCTTCATGTCTTTTCCGCTGGGTGACGTTGAAGCCTCTGGAGTTGCGAATAGGAGATGATTAAACAATACTACCTTCAACAGGTGAACTGGATTCCTGCAAGCTCCTTATGTCTGTAAGTGAAAGGGAAAAAAGCAGTCAATTCCAGGAAACCCGTTTCTAAGCTACAAGGCATGAGATTGCTAAAAATATGAAACAACATAATTCATTGAGGTTGTTCGATAGGAGGTTGAAAATATGTACCCTGTGTACAGTAAACTTCCTTTGGTATGAGACAGCTTAATTCTTGATTACAGCGTATTACATTTTTATGAGCAAAATTCCTCATCTTAGCTAGACACCGGTACATAGCGATGGATATTTTAGTATAAGAGAGCTTTTGTAGAAAAAGAAGTCAAGACTAGCAGCACCAATGCTTGTTCATGTTTGCGAGTGTCCATACGCATACCTCATGACAACACGGACCCGCGGTGTTCAATAGAACACAACATATAGCTATGATTCCTAATTGGACTATCGCTGTGTATGAAATGACAGCAATAGCATAAGTTTTCCCTAGGTTAAATTTTTGATAAATTTCATTATTACTATACCATTATAAAAATGCTTACCTGTGTCTAAAATGCTGCCGTTCTCGGAGGAATCCGAGGGCGCTTGCGAGTGGCTGCTACCTGCACAGCATACAAAAATAGCTGAAGGTAATCACTTGTTCGATCCGGTACATATCTGAATTTTAACAAAGAAAACCTTATAACATTTCTTCCTACGCTAGAAATGTGTTTGTGGATAAACTCAATTGCAGCACATATAATAAGTGCCTTAATTTACTTTCAAAAAATTGTTTTTTTTTGTTTTAGGAATTTACCTTGCACACAAATCTCAGGAGCAAAATTGCCCAGGTCGTCCGGCACACTGGAGCCTGAAGGATACCAAAAGCAGAACAGAAATATTTAGAAAGCGGCAGCTTAACTGAAGTTTAAGTACCAACTTCGGTTCATACACGACAAACCTATGGGAGTGTCAACAAATCATGATGGGTACCGGAGCTGGAAGAAAGAACTTGAAAAAGAACCTCCTGAAGCCTCGCACTTGGAATTATAGTAAAGACTACTACTGCCAAGCCACTGGCCAGAAGCAGTGGTGCAGTGTGGAGCATCACCGTGATGCCTCGATATGAGCCACATGTAAGCCAAACATGAGGAAGCTCACTTACTTTGTCTTCCTGCAGAACTGCTTCCCTCCTTTGATGCAGCAGTGAACAGGCCTGGGAAAGAAGTGTTCGACACTGCATTGGTTGCAACAAGTTTTTCAGGGCTGTCTTATGTAACACGAGACAGGATGCAATTTTCAGCAAATCACCTTGAGGAAAATCTGCCGGTACTGCGGGCACTTTTCGGGGGGCTGCTTTTGTTGGCTTGTGTCGCACTGATTCCTCGTCGGACTGCGACCACTGGGGCGGTGGCCTCCGCTTCCTCTTGCCTTGCGGCCTTTCTGAGTCGCTGCTTAGTTCCGATGTGTATTGGCTACGCTCCAGCTTCTTCCGTGCCTGCTCGTATGTTGCTGAAAGGACAAGCATCCGTAGTGTCAGCTTTCTTGCACCACATCACATTATAAAATTGCCCATACCGAATAACCACTTCACCACCACAGCAAATCGTTTCCACGACGCATCTGGTGGCACTGCTTTTTTCACCATCACAATTATCTTGTCCCCTTTGGCCTGGTCAGGCCATGCACAATGTTCGCCCTGAATCCAGAGCGCAGGCACAACTTCAACCTGCTTTAGACGAAGGAACTCCACAATGGCATAGGCCATCTGAAAGAAAAAAAAAAAGCAGAGAGATTGTTTATTACCAACAGCTGAACACACCTTCCCAATAAGTAAGGGAACAAATAGTATGAAAACGTGATAAAAAACATATTACATGTATAGAGTGTCTCAAGATACCGGATAATGCACTAAAGTCAACTGGAAAAATCTAACCTGCATGCAGCAAGCTCCTATTTTACATGAAATGTGCATTTTGTAGGTACTTTTACCTTGTGAACGTTCAAGGTGTAGCTCAGTTCCAGTGCAGAGTAAGAACATGCTTTAAATTTAAAAAATATGCCCGTCATAGAAGACTCGGTTTACCATCGGCAAAAGCTGTCAGCTGCATTGGATTACACAAAAACAGAGCCAAGTCTAACGTTTCACAGGAATGGAGCTACGACTTGAGATTTCACAAGGTAAAATGCACCTATAAAATACACCCCTTGTGAAAATGGGAATTTGTTACGTGCAGGCGGCGATTTTTCCTGTTGATTTTAGTGCGTTATACGGTAACTTGAGACATCCTATAGTTATTTTGAATAGGAGCCAACGATGAACCTCATTAAGACGTGCACATACCTAAGTGCGTAGAACAGATGGGTTTTGCAGCTTCTATGTACACTCGAACGCAACATCTACTTGGCAACAGGGCATCAAACTGTGTGCAGTTCTGGCAAAGCCACAAATTTGCTGTCCCAGGGCAGCTTCACCATTTTCCGCACATTACGTAAAGGCCATGGCTTTGGCGTTGAGAGGCGTGCAACAATGAAGATGCCAAGCCTGGAAGACTCGAAGGGTGCAGGGTACAGGTCTTCCTTCACAAGAAACTCTTGGCCAATAATGCAAGGCTCATTTGAGCCCCTCATGTGGGCTATGTTTCTCGCAATAACAATGTGGCCATCTTGCATGAAGCAGTTGTCCCGTTCCTTTAGAGCAATGGTGAAGTTCCGACACTTCAGCATCTGGTACTCTGGCGGACAACATTCAGGCAACAAGAGCCCTCCACAGTGTTGGCGACTGAGCTTGAAAGGTTTGCCACCATCAGAAGGCTGTCTGTGATCCTTTGATCGTGCCTCTACCATCCGATTGCACAACTGCTCTAAGGGCTTCCCATGCTTCCGGAGCTGCTTCTTCAGCACTTGCATGTGGCTTTCAAAAGGAAAAGCACTGAAAGAGTCTAGCTCCCCATGCCTTTGAACATCGGAGGCAAGATGTATAAGGCAATGTATGTTGAAAGAGGCATTGTGATTACCATACAGCTCACAAAACTCTGACACAAAACACCTCAGGAGTTCACCAGCATAGCCGGCATGCTGACGACACAGCTGTTGGTTTGCCAGTATGGAGAGTGAAGCATGGAGGAGAAGAAAATGCTCATACAGCTGAACTGGCAAGCAGGACTTCAAAAGCAACGGACCCGTGTAGAAGAGGAGAAGCCTGAACTCAACTGCCTTCCAGCGGTCGATTTCATCAAGTCCTCGTGACCTGCGTGGGAATTCGCAGGGAATGCAAGGACGCAGAAGCTCACTGTACTCGTTGAAAGTGTGTCGCTGCAATGGCCCCAAACGAACAGCCAGTGGCCCCGAAGTCCACAAGGAAAGGAGCTTCTTCACGACCCCGAGCAGTACGAGATGCATGTAGTCCAAAGGCAGGTCATGCACAATGTCAATAGGCAAATCCAACAAAATGGATTCCCCTTTGTGGTGCTCCGAGTCGTCTTGTTGTCTAAAGCTCAAGTCAGTACGCAATGGGCAATCCATGTCAAGAAAGACAACTCTACCTTGCAAGTAGGAGCCTTCGACTGTACACTTTGGACAGCCACTGTAACCTCCATGACCCTTTGTCATAGTTATGAATGCTCGTGCAGGAGCATCACAAATAATAGCCTCCAACTTGACTTGAATGACACTGTCATTGATAGTCAGGCCGTGCAAAAGCAAGGTCTGCAGCTCCTCAACGAAAGCCCTCAAGAAGTCGTTTGAGGATGTTGGCTTCGAATTCCCAGCAAAGGCACCAACAACAAATGGTGCTTCATTGCAACCGGAAACCATGCACTGAATAGGCCACAGTTGCGTTTTCGAGCTTTTTGACAATGGCAAGCCATCTATGTTGAATGTGAGAGAAAGGAAAGCTGGCAGCCGTTCCACATTACGCAATGAGTGTTGCAGCCCAGCAGCAAGTCCAAAATGGCAGTAATTCCCTGGCGCCATAGGTGTGAAGGGGAACTGCTCGTGTGGTTTGCGAGGAGTCTGCAGGAGTGTGCGTCCATCTTTCGGTAGGTCTGACATCCCTTCCCGTCTCCTTAATATCTTGAGGAGAGCCGTCAGTGGCCTTCTTTTAATCCCACTCTCTACAGCCCAATCCCGCAAGGAATCCTGGAATTCGCAGAGCGCGTTTGTGCCTTCACCAGCACTATCCCCGTTGCCTTCGGAATCATCTAAACCTGGCGGGCCGCCTTCAGCTAACTCGGCAAACGAACGGCCTTGGTCGTAACCTGCCCCTTCGCGTTTGGGGTCTTGGCGGTAGAGATGATATGCGGGCGAGTCAGCACTCGAGGCACCATCGACGGGAACACTTCGCCCAATCGGGGATTCGCGGGCATGTTCAGCAGCGGCGGGCGTGCTACGTTGCTCGAGACGACGTTCACTGGGGTTGCACTCGGCCTCCTGTATGTCCTTGCTGGCATGCTCAAGAAGCGCTAAAGTTCTTCTTGTTTCTCGGGAGGCTTTCTCGCAGGCGTATGCCGGCCGTGATCCAGGCATGGCGGCACAGTACTCACAGTCAACGCGGGCTACTACGCTACGACATGCCTCAGTGCACAATGGCGGTATAGCCGGATTCGTACGTAAATAGGATACATATCGGACGAGATGAATACAATGAGGTACTCACCTTATTTCCGAGACGACGAACCAGAAGTAGAAAACCCGCCAAAACGTTCGCGCGCGCACGAGCTGCAGAGGAGCCGGAAAAACAGGATTGATGACGATGGCGATCTAGCAGCCTCTCCAGCAAATAACTCCAAAAACAAAACAAAAATACACGGGATGAAAACACGACGCATCACTATTAAATTAATAAGTGAAACAATTTGGCCAATATTTTGTGTAACAAAATTGTCATTATAAAAGTACACAATAAAACTACTAAAAGCACGAGCCGCCTTCGAAGCCGGAGCTAAAGTCATTGAATCTGACCGGGTCAAGAATCACTAAATATTCCCAAAGTACGATAATCAAAGGCTACCAATAAAACTGAACTCGTTACGCACGGTCCCATAATTTGACGGTTAACCGCGCGCCTATGGCCTAAACGCCTGCAACAGAGTACCGAAACGACCGAAACCAACGTTATTAGACCTAATGAGCTATATAGTGCTCTAATTAGACCAACTGCCAAGCTTTGTTTCAGAACCGAGTCGCGGCGCAGCAGTCGCGCTCCATCCCATCGTCCAATGTGGCGCTCGTCTGCCCTGTGCGGTGGAAGCGAAGCGCGTATCGTGCAGCGTTCGTTCTCGTACGAGCTCTTCAATCCACTTTCCTGGTATGTGGCCACACTAAATTGCTTTTTTTTTTCTTCTTTTTTTTATGCATATATAAAAGGTTGTTCCGAGCGGTGCGTGACTTGCTTCTCGCTGTCTTGTTTCTCTCTCGCCTCGAAACACAATAAGTCGAGTTACAAATTACAAAACTTCTCGAATGCACAATAAAAGCTGTGACTACATCTCGGTGGCGCTGCGCTCCCATCTCGGATCTAGTTTAGGGTAGAAAAATCTGAAAGCCGAAGGTAAAGCTATGGGAGGCAGCTTCAACACCTGAGACTGCATGCTGCGAGCGCAGAGGCTCACCAGCTTGCCTGCAGCACACTCGCTGTTTTTTCACTAGTTTTGGAAACTTGGGGCCTTTCCAGTTGCTCAGTGCTGTTCTAGCTTTTGGAATGCACTATATAGACCCGCTAATGGAAGTAATATATGTTGTGTTACATTGGACGTCCAGAGGATATCATGCCCGGGATCTATCGGGCAAATCCCAAAGCGGACATCGAGAGGACATCCACAGGAGCAGAGAAAATGGACGTTCTTTATAACCTGAAATACACCTCCCACGTTGGTCCCTTGGACGTCCCGTTTCGGTCGTTGGGGTCATGGACGTTCGGATCTAAACCGGATGTCCCTCGGATATTCGTGGTCCAATGGGTTCAGACCAAAAAAAAAATAAAAGAAATATTTTTTAAGCAAAAAATAAAAACTTAAAACATATCCAATACTTAATTAAGGAATTGGATATCCTCACAAATAAAAAAAACATCAACTTAAATTAAGATGTCGAACACCCTGATCTTTTTTTTTTTTGCACGTAAATTGACGTATATTTCGGTCAGCAAACAAAGGTTATCATGGAACGTATAACAGGAGAGGAAGCTGGGACATTATGTCTGCTCGCCCAAAAAAATTTACTTCAAACGGCGTAGAGAACAAGATAACTTCAGTAATGACCACGGTAGCGACACCGGCCACCGAAATATAAACTGCAATAGATTTGGGTCGAAACCGAAACTATATACTGCAGTCGAAAACTTTCACGATCCAAAGTCACAGCCACAGCTAATTCAAAACCTAATCCAAAGCAACAAGCAGCTTCTGGAATCTTGTTCTTATCCGTCCCGTTTGTGCAGACAAAGGCCTGTTTCAACTTTCAACGTGCGTGGGTCAAATCATTGTTTAGGTACGGTTTTCCGATTTCATAATCATAATGCATGCCCGAAAAGTATCTACATGTGCTGCATGATCTTCCGAGCACTGTAGCTCACGTTGCCGCCGTAATTCGAATGATATTTAACTTTTTTCAACGCTTGAGCGGTCTCCGCGATTTTGTGTCGCGTCGCAGCTGAGGAATGCTGGCTGCCTAAATGAAACCATAGAGTAACATAGTAAACGAAAAGAGTGGCCACCCGAGCCGATTCGCGGCCCAGGAGCTAGGAACTACGACGACCGTTCGTTCAGTGGCACTGCAGTCACACAATTAATTTAGATATTTATCATATTTTCACCCTTGATATGTAACTCTACTCTATAACCTAACATTTAAAAATTAATAGCAGCTCCAAATTCCTTTAAAAACAATATGAACAGCTGCGGCTTTGGCTGCGGCTCAGTTTATGGCTTTGGGGCCGTCGACTCGTAGAACGGCGGCTTTCCGGTCACGTCACGCGAAAGGTCGGTTGGGCTGCGCCTGAATGGCTCGTGCGGGCTTCTCGTCATTCTTCCGTTATTAGAAAGGTGAGTCGTTCTACTGACACCATATTTGGCTTGCTTTCGGCTACATACTAGTTTTGTCTCACCTTAGCATGGACTAACCGCGAATGGTGTGCTAGCGCAAGCGGCTAGCCTTGACTGCCTTGGCTAGAGCACTGGCTGCACAAGCGCTCGTGCAGCCGCCGAGGCTTCATTCGAAGCAACTATCTGGCGCTTTTAGCACGCGCGGCTACTAACGTGAGACGAAGTATAGTTGGACGCACGGGCTAAAGCGCGAGCTAATTGCTCCCGATGAAGCCTCGGCAGTTCCACGTGCGCGCGTGCGCTCGTGCAGCGAGAGCGCCAGTCAAGGCACTCAAGGCCTATTCAATTTCATACCTGTGCATCACTGCCAATGCTGGTGGCGCGAGCGCATGGCTCTCGCGCCAGCAGCTTTGACAGCGTTGAAATCGTTGTACCTGGCGCCAGGTATGGAGCAGGGTACAGGTGGCCTTCATGCCCGCTTTGATTAGGGCGAGGCCATCCTAAGCAAAGCGCGCTCACGAGGAAAATACAAAGAAATGGGGTGTGACAGTACTGTGAGGGCTTTTCTTTATCAGCACTCTTTATTTCGCTTCAATAATTTTGGTTTCCAAATTGCTATGAAATGAAGTCACTAAATTCGCGTAATCTCAAATTCACTTGTGCTAATTTCGTTTCCTAGCTGATGCCGCCAGGATGTTTGGCTACGGCAGCTACTGGTGCGTAGTCTGGTGCGGAAACAATGGAAGAACCCGCAAGCAATCAGGAACAAACTTCTTCCGAGTTCCACGAGACGACAGGATGTTGGTGATTTTAATTTTTGCACTCCCGAATGTCGTGCACGGTTTTTAAAAATGCTTTGCAGGATTCGATTGTGCTGGCATATCCGTTTCGTAAATAGAAACTTGGATAAATTTCGCTTTCGTTCTCGCGTCGTTGGTGTACAGCATGAAAAGTTCAGTGGCTAGAGCTTCATTCTGGTGATGTGTTTCATCCTTTATGTTGCATTTCATAAGATATCTGCAAGGTAAAATTAATTTTATTGGGATTTTATTGGGCCGTGCAGACTGCATACTAGCCATTTGTTGGGAATATTTGCAGCAAGTAGATTGCACTCTACTCCTCTACTGGTCTATTATAGTGACTGCTTTTTTTAGATTGTCATGTCTGTTTTCTTGTGGAATGTGTAAGTTCCCATTTTGATCTTTGTTAATACTCTCTTAGGTCACTCATCTTGAATGCAACTTCCTTTTCTTTTGGACATTTTTTGTGCTTTACACATAAATGAAGCTTGAACGAGATTGATATTAGGGTGTCTACGAACCTGGCAAGCCTGAAATTCTCAGGGAATTTTGGATCACCTGGAAAAGTCAGGGAATTATCAGGGAAACTATCAAAAAGGTTGGCTAAATCAGGGAAAGTGACCAGTAAAAGTGGCACAGTGGTTCGGAACGAAGCACGGCGACCAGGTGTCGCGACGGCTCTGCTGAATAGTATTGCCCAAAATATCATTCTTTGAATGAAGGCACACCAGGAAATTTTATCGAAATAGTCGAGAAAAACTTGGAAAAATCATGGACTTTGAAAGAAGTCATTTGGTTGACACCTGTAAGATGTACTTAACTAGGCAGTGCATATTGCATGCCAAGCCTTGGTGGAATCATTTGTGATGAGTGGGTCGCAGGTACACCGGGCACCACTCTGCTTGTAGCAGTCTTTTGTCAGCCGTTTCATGCGTGCTTTTTATGATAATAGTCATGTTAAAACCTACATGTTAAATGTGACATGTTAAGCGTTACATAAACGTAAAACCTGTATTAGTCAGTCGGTTGGTTTTCAGTTCTTATTATTTTGGTCATTATTGTTACTTAAATCAGCAGGAGCAAGGTATGCTTAATTGTGCAGTGCAGGCTGTGTTAGGTTTATTTAATGACTACGTCGCAAGCTAAGTAGGTCTATACTAGTTACAATCTCGTTTAGGCATTTACTTGTCTGTTTTTTTTTTCTAATTGTGGTCATCGTGCATCTCAGAGTTGTTCTGCTCAGGGATGGACAAAATACATGCAAATATGTATCGAAATACAAATACAAAATACTTCGTCAAAAATTTATTTCATTACAAATCTAATTACATATCCAAAAAAGCATTTAAGTACAAGATACAAATACAACCAAATGTATTTGGTCTCCTCCAAATACTTTTCCAAATACATTCCTCAAAATTTGCGTCAGCGACTTCAGGGCAACCTGCAACGGGTTTCTGGGTATCTCATTTTAATTTTGCATCGCACACTCGGGAGTTAGTGTGCGAGGCTCTAGTAACGTAATAGAAATATGATCACAAAACAAATGTAATCAGCTTGGACGTTATAGGTGAAAAAAGTACAGAGCTTCAAGCAGCTTTTTTGTCGATTACATTTTGGTATAGACCAACACAGAACCGAGACGACCAAGACGCGCAGCACTAGCTAGAGAATTTTTTTATTGTTTCAACTCGCACCAGTTACGAACATCTAAACGACCTACCCATTTAGGATGTCCCAGGCAAAAATATGGATGAAAATCAGGCTGGAGAGCATCCCAAGTTGTCACAGGCACTTATTTAGCCAGTCTGCCTGTGAACGTCGATTTCGTCAGTATTCTTGCCCTGGACAAGCAGGGTAACCACAAAGTCACTAAACGCTTGTGCTTGATTGAGGCACACTGCATTCGGTGCAGAACGTAGTTTTCTCCCTGCTCTGGACAGTGACAATAAATTTGAGCCCGAAGGAAAAATCCATCAATGTAACCCTGTTTGGCAGTCAATGTTTTCTAGTGGACCGCTGACTGTGCCTGACTGTACGTCAAGCATGCCTGACTGTCCAACAAGTTACTCTGACCGACAGTCAAACTCTAGTCAGACCCGCTTGTCGGCTTTCTGATGGTTTCCTGGTGGCAGTCGGCCGCCTCGAAATGCCGTCAAGATTTCTTGGTGGCGATTCTGATTGTACATCGACTGTCTATGACTGTACGTCAAAAAGCTTTGACGTGCAGACAGACGTACAGTCAAAGGACGTAAAGTTCGTTCGGATACCACTATTTCGTCAAATCTAGGAATACGAAAAATAATCTATGCACGAGAAAACGATTTCGGGACGTGAGCCCATAAAACCGCTGATGTTAGAGATATGACACGCAACCGACCGACAATCTTGATCAGAAGCCCGCCGAAACGCCGAATTTCTTCGCCGAGCTTCCATGAACGATCGCTCTCGATTCGTTTTGTTTGCCCGCTTGCTCCAACTAGGCTCTGGCTCCAACCTGTCGATCCTGCCCGGGCTCTACATTGTCTTACGTTTTAGTAGAATTTCTACTCGACAAGACCCAGCCTGTTGTGAGTTCCGACGATGTAAGGCACTTTAGCGGTGTAGTTGAAGACGGCAAGGTGGACTACTCTGCCGGAGACGCTCCAACGAAAGGAGGATTCTACGACGCGAAACTACTCTGCATGGCAGGTGAGTAGAACTGAAGTACGGCGATTGATGTACGATTGCTTGGTTTAACTGCATATACGGCAGAAGCACTTTTTAGAGCGATGCACTCATTGTCGGAACCTCTCGCTGCAATACTGAAATGCTCTTGACTCGGTCCGAGAGGTTTAGGCAAGAAAGTTTATATCTTTCTATCTGGTGTGCACGGTAAAAACGTTCCGTAAAAAAACGTAGAGCTTCTAATTAAAAGCTACGGAGAAGCATCCGTAATCTGAAATACGATTGACTTGTCCGTAAATCTAAAGTTACGATTCTTTAAACAACTAAAATTGTTTGCGACAAGCTGAAAATTGTTTTGTTTGGTTTAGACTAATAGACAACGGTT